GGGGGGGGGGGGGGGGGGGGGCAGGAGGCTAGGCAGTACAGGGATCCAAACCCTTGACCTTGGTGTTAATTGTTAATCAGTGCCCCACTAACCATGTGAGCTACTAACCGGCCAGCCCTTGTAAAGACTGTTGAAAGGAATAATCAAGCTAAGACTTGAAGGATGAGGAGCAGTAAAGTAGACAAAGAAGGGGAGGGAGCATATCCAAAGGTCCAGTCTCCAGTGACTGAGAAAGCTATCTGGCTCAAGTGGAAAGAGTCAAGATTACAGTACAGTTAGAGGCCAGAGAAACAGGTAAGGGGTACTATAAACAGCTTTATAGTTAAACTCCGTGTTAAGTTTTGTCTCTTAATAGTTGAAAGCTATTGAAGGTTTTTAAAGCTGTGTGTGTGTTGTTGGGGGTGGGGATTGTGGATCACCTAATAAAATTGCCAATTAAAGAACACTCAATGCAGTGTTGAGAACAATGTGTGGGGCAGGAGGAGGCTAATTGGAATAGCCCAAATGAGAAATGATTGCAGCATAAATTAAGGTGGGTGGGTGTGGTGAATAGATTCTATAGATGTCTCACCGGCCACTGCTCAGTAAGTATCCTTTCCTGATTTCTCTAGGCCTTGGTTGTCAGACCTCATCTTTAGCTGTCCTTTTTCCTAGGTAATCTCATCCAATCCTGTGATTTTGTATATGGTCAGCATTTTAGTCACTCAAATATTTCTAGGTCCTTCCCGCCCTGCCCAAACTCCACACTCATGCAACATATTGATTTGAATTTCTTGAATATTCCAAATTGACCTCTTGATGACACCACCTGCTTTCCATTCGTCCAGTTGCACGGGGCAGATACTTTGGGTATCATCTTTGACTTCTTTTCATCCCTTGTGACTAATCCTCTAGCAAATCCATATAATCCTACTTTGGAAATCCATTCTGAGCTATCTAGCACTTGGGACCACCACCACTACCATTCTAGAACAGGTAACTACCATAGTTTATAGTGGTTCTCTCTGTTTCTACTCGCCCTCCTTTGGTATAGATTTTGCACAGCAACCAGAATGAGCCTTTTAAGAGGGCAGATCTTGTCACTCCCCGGTCCCCCAAACTCCAGTAGTTTCCCATCACAACTAGAACTAAGTTCTAAATCTGGTCTACATGCCCTACGTTATCCGGCCTCCTTTCCTACTATTTTTCCACTTGCTCTCTATGCTCTGTCCGTAGGCTGCTTTGCCAATATTTTTTTCCCCCACTCGGAGCTTTTTCTTTGGCATGGAAAGCCTTTTCACTCAATCTCCATGCTCATCCTTTCTAAATTCAAGTCTTTGCTTCAGTGTTAGCACTTCAGAGCACCTTCCCTGTCCACATTTAAAAATAGTACCTTAGTCACTCACTGGATACTTCTTTAATTAATAGTATGTAAAACCTACCTACTGTATAATTTTCGCTAGGAGCAGGAACATTTTGGTCACTATCCATTGTAAACAGAATAGTGTTTGGCATATTGTCATTTTGTTAAATGAATTAGGAGAGAACTTCATGATGGACGTTGGACTACATGGGTGGTGCTGCTGATTGTATTAAGATCGAAGTGTCTTTATTTGGGGAAGGACTGTCAAGGGATGAGTTCAGCTTCGGACATTCTGAGTTGCAGTATCCACGAAGAAATATCAAAGAAGCAGTTGGGTATGTTTACTTGAAGTTCAGGGATCTGGCCCAAAGACAAGAAAGCAAAAATATGTATAGGTAGCCCATGTAGTCATGTGCTTGGACGAGTCCGACTGGGGGCTGGAGGAGTAACTGAAGAACAGAGCCCCAGGGTTGGCTTTCTGAACAGCTTCCACATTTGCCTGTCAGACACAGGCCTAAGGGGATCCTAAGTCCAGGGGCAGTAATCTTGGGTAGAAAACTACAGAATTCCAGACAGCACTGCGGGAATGGAGGGTCAAGCGACATGAATAAAACAGGTCTGTTGGCCGAGTTTCCTCATCTTGTCACATTAAAATGGGAACTTATTTAAGTAATGGGATCGGCAAAATTAAGCACAGCCCTGGAGCCGTCGCATTTCGCATCACCAAAGTTGCCCAACTCTGGACCACTAACTGAGCTGCACAGAACCTACGTGGGCACCCGCGCGAGTCCCTGCACTGGTAGGGGACAATCCCCACAGTGGTAGGCTCTGAGGGTGCGGACATCTGTGCTTTGCCCATCGCAGCGTGGGTACCTTCATTCTGATATGAGCAGCAAACCACACCCGGCACCACAGCTACTACAAGCAGAAACAAACGCACAGCCGCAGCGTAAATTTAGGCTGCAGCTCCGCCTCCTGGGGCTTTGACGTCATCACGGCGACGGCGTTGTGGAAGGTCCCTCCTCACTCGCCATCGCCGCGCTTTTAGTGCGCTCGCGCACGCTCTGCCTACCGGCGCCTGAGCGGGAGTTCGCCGCGGCGTGAGGCGCACAGTGAGCTAGCGGTCGGGCACACGCTAGAGGCGGCTTGCTGCGCCTGCCTCCTGGGGTCCTTCCGCGCCCCCACGTGCTTCCGCTTCGCCGCTGGCTGGGATCCTCCGGGCAGGTACCTATCGCGGGAGGGCTGGGGGTGCTTGCCGAGGTCGGCGTCCGAGTCTTTCCTGAATCAGGAAGGGACCAGCCCGAGAACGGAGGCTCTGCATCCAGGCCGATGCCTGGATCACGCAGACTGCCTTCCTTCCCACCCCTCCCGACTGGGTCGCTCCTAGATGACAGAATCCCTTCGCTCCTGATACGCGGCCGCTCGCACCTCTTGGGGGTTGTGTGGCTCTATCCCCACCCTCCTTTGGCCTCTAGCTGGGGAGCAGGGGTGAACGGGTGGGTGACAACACTTTTGCTTTCCGCGGAGCTCGCGCACAGTTCCTGGTTGCTGTGCTGCGCTTGAACTGAGGCAGTCTGATCCCAGATCCTCCCTCGCTCCTAACTACTTCACTGTGTGCATTCGTTTATATTCTTTATTCAGCAGTCACATTGAGGACTTTGCTTTGTTTGCCAGTGTACCTAGAATGGCGCCCGGCACATAGATGCTGTGTCTGGATTGGCGAATAAGTGCGTGAATGAAAAATAATCATCTTTCTCCTCCTTCAAGGACATCCTCATCCATTAGGCCCTCCTTGGCAACTTCATCTCACAGTTCACAGACCTTGATCAGACCCTTTATTGTAGCTATTATTTATACATTTAATTTTATCTGTGTGTACTTGTCCCTTGTCTCTTTCCTTTAAATACTTTTCTTCGAGAAGAGTAAAAGCTTGATATCAAGGGTCTTACCTAGTACTTCTTCTGGGGCTCCCACAGTAACTAGAGAAAAAAGCAGTCCCCAATAATTATTTGTTGATTGATTTTTGTGGTGTCTTTATGTGGCCAGCAACAAGGGCTTACAAGCTGGGCAGGTTGTTGAAGTGGTCAGACTTTGGAGTCAGGACGACTCGAATGTGAATCTTGTCCCTGTCACTTTTCTGCTTTGGGATACTTGAATTCTTTATACTTGCTCCTTTACTTATAAATAGGAGCCATTGGTTGTGACATAGTGTTTATAGTAAGACATGCTAAAATCCATGTTTGGATTGAGAGGTTAGAAGGGACAGTTAAGGCATGGTTAAGATTCAGTTAACGAGCTTTATGTTTAGAATGCAGCAGGCGCTGGAGTTTCTAAGGATCGTGTCATTTTTATTTTCACATCGTAATATAATATAGTTTCTTTGGTGTATTATGGTAATGATGCAGTGTTTTATCATAGGTAATCACAGAACTTTTGAGGTCTGTCTGTACAAAGGCTTCGGTATGGTTTTCCCTCACTTGAGGAAATAATTAGACACATGTCATCATATAAACAGTCATTGATTTCTTCTTTACCCTGACTTTATCAGTAACGTATATGTATTAAAAAACAAAAATAAAAACCCCAAAAAAACAAAAGAAAAAAATAAAAATCAATCCCACCATCCAGAAATAACTGCTTTACATTGTGGTATTTTCTTCCAGTCTTTCCTTTGTGTGTTTTATATATACGCATAAAAAATGGTATTATACTTTATCCTGTCATGATATCCTCTCATAAGCATCTATATCTATATCCTTTTGTAGTTTTTGAAAATGCTTTGGCTATATGAGTATTATGTATGAGTATTTTAATCATTCTCCCAGTTTTTTGAATACTCAAGTTTCTGATTTTTTAAAACTCCTTTATAGAGGTGTGAATTACAGCTTCCCTGTTGACTTCCCATGCTGAGGCAACTCTTTCTTTACCTCCCAAGCTTCAGTTTCCTAACTTGAGGTTGATGTCTTTCCTGTGGAGCTGTTTGAGGGTTAAGTGAAATGATACTTGTAAGTGTGCCTGTCATAGCCGCTGGTCCCATAAGAGGCAGTCAGCTAATGATTCTCACCCAGAATCTGGAGTCCATGTCTTTTATTGCCTTTCTTTCTCTTTTAGTGATAATCTTTTACCATGCATCGGAAGAAGGTGGATAACCGGATCCGGATTCTCATTGAGAATGGAGTAGCTGAGCGGCAAAGGTCTCTCTTTGTTGTAGTCGGGGATCAAGGAAAAGATCAGGTAAGACCTGGTAAATGCTTCCTGAATTAGTTTGTGCCCTTTCCCAAAGAGTCAGCATGTTACAGGCTCTTGGGTTTCAGGACGTAAGATCCCTTTGGCTGATAAGATGCCTAGTGGGAACCTTTCTTCATTTCCTGGAAGTGGTAAATTCTCTGTATTTAGATTTATTAGCAGACAAGCTAATACCTTTCAAAGCCTGGGATTGTGGGTTGACCACAAGGTTATGTGGGTATGACCTGCTTCTAGTCCCAACCTGGTCACTACTTGCCTTGTGACTTTGTGCACTTCCCTTTCCTGATCCTCAGTTTAATTTCCACACCTGTCAAATGAGGTCATGGGCCTGATAATTTTTTTTTTTTTTTTTTTTTAAAAGATGACCGGTAAGGGGATCTTAACCCTTGACTTGGTGTTGTCAGCACCACGCTCAGCCAGTGAGCGAACCGGCCATCCCTATATGGGATCCGAACCCGGGGCCTTGGTGTTATCAGCACCGCACTCTCCCGAGTGAGCCACGGGCCGGCCCAAGGGCCTGATAATTTCTAAGGTCTCTTTTGGCCTGAGATTCTGTGACTTTTTTCTTTGACAGGTGGTAATACTCCATCACATGTTATCTAAAGCAACTGTGAAGGCTCGGCCTTCAGTGCTCTGGTGTTATAAGAAAGAGCTGGGGTTTAGCAGGTAAGCTTGACCCTTCATGTGTCTCATCCCACTTAATTCCAGCTCATTAGTTAAATGCCAGGAAACAATTCCTTGTTTTTCAGGGATCTTTAGTGGAGGTGCTATCTCTGAGGACATTTCTAAATGGAGGAAAAGATGGGGCTGATATCCTTTCTTTATTCCTGACAGTTTCAGAACATTTTCACGTTTTTAAGTCCCCAGCCCAGTGCCTTGCTTTATGCACATGGTTTTTCTTTCTGCTTTTCTAAGCTGATTAAACCCATCTAACACAAGTTCCTTCAATTGCCTTTTCCTATCTGAAATTTGTTCTGCCTTTTCACTCTCCTTTTTTACTTCCACTCCACAGAGGGGGATATGCCTCCTTCCATGTCCAAGGAACATCCCTTTATCTATTTTGGATCTCTTTTCTCACCTCTTTCAGGACCTTTCATCGTCTTTCCTCTGCCAGCTACTCCATACCCCTTGGAAACTTTCTCATTTTTCCTGTAAACATGCTCGGTTTTCACCATTCTCAAAAAATGATTAGCTACATACCCAGCTTTATCTCCCAGGCTAACTTTTTCCCTCACTTTTATTGCTATGCCCCTTAAAACAGAAGGCTTTTGCACTTCCTAGCCACCCTTTTGCTGTCTAGCTTCTGCTTCCAGTGACCTGATGTCTAATGCAACAGCTTTTCTCTTTCTTCTTCATTTCAGAGCTCTTCTTCCACCAGTTCACTGTTGCATGTAACAGTTGGCTATTCTCTTGGTTTTTGAAGCTATGGTGGTCAAGACTTCTGGTTATAAATATCAGACCTTCAACCTACACACACTTAGGCACAAAAGGAATTTATTGATGCACACAGGATAGTTGGTGGAACCTAAGGGAATAAGATTTCAGCTCTGCTCAGGAGCGATATGGAGCCAGGGTGCTAATCTCCCGGTTCTTGCTTAGTCTCTCCTCTACGTATGTGCTCTATGCTTTCACTGCAGACTAGCTTTCTGTTTTTTGTTATACCCCTGGCAGAAGTAGCACTGGAGTTTTACCGTGTTTCAAGTCCAACCATGTGGAAATTAGGCTTTCTCCCAAAATTCTTGTGGAGAGATGCCCACCCCTGGGCCAGGGGAAGTGGGGCTGGTCACACAGTAGAAACCTGGCTGTTCTATCTACAAATCTGTGTTTGAAGGAGTTTGGGACGGGGTGGGGGTGCTATTCCTTGGAATATACCCCACTATGTGGTTACCTCAGTAATACCCTCCTTTCTTGACCTCAGTGCCTTTGTACAGACCACCTTCCTGAGCTCTTCCCCTTGCCTTGATCTTATCTCCCACGCTTAACCTAGCTAGCATGTATGATTCTGTCCTTGGGCCTCTTCCTCCTCCTTTATTACCCAAATATGCTAGTCTCTGATGTTGGCTCTCAGATCCTGTCTTCAGCTCTGACTGCTCTGTGCTGTGGCTAACCTCCCTGCTTTCCTTTGCTCATCCTGTCTCCTCTGCTTGGAATGCCACTTCTACCTCTCTGACATCACCTACTGAAATTCTCCCCATTTTTCAGGGCTGCCTCCTTCTTGAAGTTTTTCCTGAGCCCTCTTCAGTTATGCCTGATGGTTCCACAACCCTCTTTAGCACTTGTCCTCCTCTTGCAATGCTTGCCTTGAGATATAGTCACGTATATCTTGCCTTGAGATATAGTCACATATATCTTTTTTCATTTTCAGGTGATTAGATTCAGTTAGGAGCTCTCTCCTACTTATCTGTATATTTTCATACTTTCAAATGATCTAGCATGTTTGTACTAGGTATTCAGTTGATATTTGTTGAGTTGGATGTATTGTTAACAGGCTGTAAAGTTAATTTAATTTTATTTAGTACCAAAGGCTAACTTTGACTAGTCTCTATCCTCTGGTCTTAAAAGACAACTGATTCTGCTTAAAAGAAACTAGATTTTGAGTAAATAATTGGGCCTTTTAAAAAAAAGTAATACCATTGTTTTGGGTGTGTAGATGTGCATATATACTATGCTTAGAAACAAGACCATAATGCTTGAGCAGTGCTTGGATGTAAGGAACTGTTTGGACCTGTATTGGGATAGGATAGGCTACAGTAATAAATACACCCAAACCGGTTATGGCTCAACAGTATAGAAGCTTATTTTTTGCTCACATGACAGTCCAGAGTGGTTCCAGGTCCGGGGAGTGGGGGACAGGGGACTCTTCAGTTATTTAGGAACCTAGACTGATGGCAGTTCTGCCACCTTCAGCATATAGCTTCCAGGGCTGCTCAGGGGATCTCTCTCTCAGTTTGCGGGATGGAGAAGGACACGTGGAAGGTATGAATTGGACTGAATGTAGCACACACCATTTCTGCTTCTCTCCCATTGGCTAGAACTCAGTTACATGGTCACAAGAGAGGATGGGAAATGAAGTTCAGTTTTGTCCCAAGGAAGGAGAAGAAATACATTTTGGTGAACAGCAAGCAGTCTCTGCCATGGCCCCTTTGACCCCCATCTTCCCATGGGGGTCATGAAGCATGGCGATTTATGACATCAGCTTCCCCAACTGTAACTGTGTGAATATAGTAGAAAGAAATGACAATTGGAAAAAAAAAAAGTTATAAAAGTCTTATTGTACAAAATGTGAAAAATGCAGAAAATGCAAAGATAAAAATAAAAAGCACCCATAATCTCACCACCTAGACATTATTTTAGCATTTAGATATATATCACTGGTATGTAGTTTTAAACCATAACTGGCATTTTTTGGTACATACTCTTTTATAATTAGGGAAATAAGCATTTTTAATATAGATTGAGGATAAGACCTGTTGCCTATCCCAGAATTTTAAGTTTTGGGGGCTTCTGATTCTCAATATTTTTTATTTCACAAATGTGAGATAGGTGCAGAATTAGGCAGTTCACAGTTTTTGGGGCAGATTTGCCTTTCAAATTTATCCCACCTAGTTTCACTTTTAAAAATCTATTCTTTTGCTTGTTATAGCTCTCCTACTTAACCCCTGTCTGGATCTGGCAGAGCATCATGTTCAGGCTGATGGCTTGCGTGTAAGTCATGGGTTTAAGGCCTGAGCCAGAAGGGACAGTGGAGACAAACTCACCCCGTCGCCTTGGTTCACAGACGAGGAAGTGGAGGCCCGCTATAATCCTCCATTCTGGAATATTCTTATTCTCTTTCTGTAAAGGGAAGGTATATGGCAGTTGGATATTTAGGGTTTTTAAGCCCCAAAATGGTTCAGGATTTCTGATAGACGTCCAAGTTCCAGTCCGGTCCTTGTATCCTGTATCATTATTGTCTTATATAAGAACTGTCCTTGAGGATTGGATCCCACACTCTGGGGAAGGAATTAGATGAATTCATCTAGGAAATACGCATAAAGTAACCTGCCATCACATTGCCTTTCCCAGGCTCTCTGGTTAGCAGCACAAAGTAGTTGAAGCACTGGCTTAAGACTAAGGTAATGAGGCCACCTAGGTTTGGTTTCAAGCTCTGGCTTTGGCCAAATGTGAGGTTTAGCTACTCTCATTACCCATCTTCTAAAGTGAAGTATTTGCTCAAGGTCACAGAGCAGGATAGCAGGTTTCACACACACAGTTATCACTGTCTCACTTCAAAGCCTGTCTTCTTAACCACTCTGTTCTGATGCCTCTCCACTTTCCTTCACCTTTAAAGTGAGGGAATTGGTCCCACACTTTCCAAGTTCCCAGCTAGCTCCAAAGGCCTAACTGGGTGATCATGGAGCTTATCCCCTGCTCTCAACTTTTTAGTCTCTTTGGCTAATTGACTCTCATGAAATGGGGGGTGATTACAGTCACCGGAAGAAAAGAATGCGACAGTTGCAGAAGAAAATAAAGAATGGGACATTGAACATAAAGCAAGATGACCCCTTTGAACTCTTCGTAGCAGCCACAAACATCCGCTACTGCTACTACAATGAGACCCACAAGATCCTGGGCAATACCTTCGGCATGTGTGTCCTCCAGGTGGGTGACTTTCTTTAGCCTGTGATTGAAGTCAGAGCCTCAGGTGCTTGGGCTGTCTGGTTTTCCACTAAGAGTGTACAGTATGGAGCAAGAGCCACTTGTTCCCCCGTCCCTCAAGCATTAGTCTTGGAATACTTGGCCACTTTGCAAAGGAAACTTGATCACCTACCTCCATATAGAAAGAGAATTCTCTATGTAAACTAGCATTTGTCTAGAGATACCAGAACTGAACAGTGATGTTCCATCACAACTGGTTGTAACCAGCTAAAGCTGATAATGCAAGTACCAGGAACTTTGAGCGAGCCTGGGAACCCATATTCTTATTGGAACTTGCTGAAGACTTTCCTGACCAGTGAGCAGTGGGACTTGTTGTATACCTATGTGCTCATATGTCTTATCCAGAGCACTGGAGTAGCGTAACCACAATGAATACCCTCACCCCCTTATGGCCCCTAAAAACCCCTCACTTTTTCCCTTAGAGAACCACTTGGTGAATTTCTTCACTGGTATTTATTCTCTTGCCTGGCAAGTTTGACATTTTTCTTTGTTTTTGGCTCTGGTGGTCTTTGCTTTTTTCTTTGACTCTTTGATACCCGTTCCCCCTCCAAACCCCCCAAGACAAAAAATTTCAGCACAAATTCCCACATTTTTTTTGTGTGTTTATTACATATATGTACTACTATGCCCATGATTATGTAAATTTTATACCTTGCAAAATATAAACTAAGAAATAAGGGGAGAATCAAAATAGCAGAAGTTCTCATTTTTTTCTTTCTGCATTCCATTGGGTTGTCCTGCTAGCTTACATCCCACCTTGGAGGCCTAAACAGAGCATTTTGCCTCATTCTCAGCCTTACTCTGGGGCATTCCCTGGCCTGATCTCTGATTGGTAGAGAGTGTTCTGCTTGCTGCCATTACCAGTTGCTGGAGTGATGGCTCCTTTAAGCTATAGCTCCCCCATGTGGTGCAGTTGAGTTTTGCCAAACAGGTTTGATCTTAAACATGTCAGAAAATAAACGTAAGATGTTTCTGAAATTCAGGTGTGAATCAGTGAAGGTTGGAAGACTTATTTCCAAATGGGATTTTTATCACATATTATTAGAATCATTTTTGGCATAGAAAACCAGGTATACATATACTCAAGGGCTGGGCCCTCTTCTGTGGTGTGCCTTTGTGCCTTACTTTGTAAGGGGCTATGAGTGTGTGTGTGTGTGTGTGTGTGTATGTGTGTGTATTCTGGTAAGTTGGGGTGGGAGGTATGGTTTCAGTTTGTGCTTTATGAGTGTGTGTGTGTGTGTGTGTGTGTATATTCTGGTAAGTTGGGGTGGGAGGTATGGTTTCAGTTTGTGCTCTGAAGCCCTCTTTTTGCCTTACCACCTGGCCCTTGGTTAAGAGTTCCTGGGGGTGCTATTTGCATGGCCAGCCCTCTCTAGGGTCTCCTTCTTTCAGGATTTTGAAGCGTTAACTCCAAACTTGCTGGCCAGGACTGTAGAAACGGTGGAAGGCGGTGGGTTGGTGGTTATCCTCCTGCGGACCATGAACTCACTCAAACAGTTGTACACGATGACCATGGTAAGTAACTTAATTGTGAGGATTCAAATAAATCTATTTTTGCTGTTCACTTTTTTTTTTTTTCCTTTTTGTCTTTTTTCGTGTCCGGCAAGGGACCGCAACCCTCAGTGTCGCGCCCGTACCGGACCGGGACCGGCAACGGGATCGCAACCCTCGATGCTGCGCCCACCCCTCGCTCAGCCAGTGAGCGGGAACCAGTCTGCATGTGGGATCCGAACCCTCGGCGGGAGCGCCGCCGTGCTCCCAAGCGGCGCACTGTAGCAGTGCGCCACCGGGCCAGCCCGACTGTTCACTTTTTTTAAAAAAGAATTTCTGTTAGGCAGCTCCAGTGAGCTGTCAGCACAGCCTCTGGGCTAGGAACTCTTTGACTGCAGCTAATGAAAAAATCACTGCAACTAAATCTCAGGGATTCCCTGAGTGCCTAGGAATCTCTGAGTTTCATATTTACTTTCAGGCATTTGCAAATCCTATACCAGTGAGATTCAGATATAATGTAGTTTTTACGTCATTAAATTTTCTGGAATAGTGTTGTGCAAGGAGCAATGCCAGTGCTTAAATCTGTGTATTGGAAAAGACCACGTGCAGACTTCCTAATTGGCCTTCATCCTAGTCGATAGAAAAGGATCATTTGCCAGTTCCATTCCCAGTTTGGCAAGAATTTTGAGTATGAGAGAAGTAGTTTTCTCCCAGAGTAGAAGACACTACTTTGGCTGAGGACATGGTTTGGAGTGGGGATGTGTCTCACCTGATGCAGAACTGGTCTCCTGCCTTCATAAGTATTGCTCCATCACTATTTTGAGAGTCATGTCCAAAGCCCAGTGGCTTGAGAATGGTGTTAGGATTGGCCTCAGGTTTCATGAGCTGCATTTGTCTGGTGAAATGGACTTTCCTCAAATCTTAGGGGCTGTTTCCTGTCACTACCACTCCCACTGTCACTTGCCACTACAGCCCCTCTTGGCCTCCTTGAAGGTCTTCAGACATGCCTAGCACACTATCATCCCAGGCCTTTGTACTTGCTATTCCCACTGGAATGTGCTTCCCCTGGCTATCTGCACAGCTCGCTTTTCACTGCCTTCAGATCCCTGCTTGAATATGGCCTCATCCATGTGGTCACACCCTGTTTAGAACAGGCAGCTCTTGGGCCACCCCGTGACTCACTTGGGGGAGCGTGGTGCTGATAACACCAAGGCCACGGATTTGGATCCCTATATAGGGATGACCAGTTAGCTCACTTGGGAGAGTGTGGTGCTGACAACACCAAGTCAAGGGTTAAGATCCCTTTACCGGTCATCTTTTAAAAAAAAAAAAAAAAAAAAAACCAAAAAACAGGCAGCTCTTCCTGTCACTCCTTAAGCTCCTCTCTTTTTCTTCAAAGCACTTGACAGTTACCTAAAGTGATATATTTGGTTTTTGTCTGTCCTGTACTAGTTGAAAAACTTCATGGGAGCAGGAACTTCGTTTTCCTTTCTGCTGTATTCCCAGATCCTAGAAGAATGCCTGGCATTTAGTAAGCACTCATTAGATATTTGTGAATGAGTGAAGGACTTTGTGTCCACATCAGTTTGCTTGTTCTTCCTCTCCCTCTCACATGGCTACTTGCTTATCCTGAATGTCTTAGCTTATCATCTCAGAGAGGCCTTATCTCACTACACTGTATAAGTAGCCCCTTTCCCCCTACATTTTCTATCACTGCACCCTTTATTTTATTTGTAGTATTAGCCGAAATTTGTATTTATTTACTCATTTTTCTCCCTCCAACCATTAGACGGTATGCTCCATGAAAACAGAGGTCAGGCTTTTTTCACCAGTATATACCCAGCATGTCTGGTACATAGTTAGACTGAATGAATGAATACATCTTAGGATGCTGGATAAAATGTAGGGACAGCCAAAGACGAGGTGAGGGGAAGTTTATTGTCATAGGAACATTGCATTTAGTGTCTGATCCAAGTTCCAGCAGATAGGATTTGGCCAGTTCAGTACAGCAGGTTGTGTAGGAATGGATTTGGTTTCCAGCAGGATCACTGATATAACTGTGTTTGTCTCCCTTGATAGAACTTCATATTTGGACCCTGGGCTTCAGCACTATCTGGATGACTTTGTTAATGGATATTGTTTTGCTTTTTTAGGACGTGCATTCCAGATACAGGACTGAGGCCCATCAGGATGTGGTGGGAAGATTTAATGAGAGGTAGGTCTACAGCACATTTCTCAGTCCCTTACAATTGTGAAGGAGCCGTAGAGGAAGGAATATTTTTATCTTGGACTTAGTGGGAAGCTTTGCTTTTGTATCAGGGAAGGCAGTACAGGATTCCACAATGGTGAGATTCTTGACAGCAGCAATAGTTGTGAAGTTAAGGGAACACTGGAAAATCGGGACCAGGAGACCTGGAGTCTGTCTTGCTGCTGGTCTCGACACTGGCTCCATGGCCCTAACTAAGTATCTCTTCCTCTCTGACTCTTAGGTTACTTATCTTTCTTTCTTTTTTTTTTCCTTTTTGTCTTTTTTCGTGACCGGCAATGGGATCGCAACCCTTGGTGTCGCGCCCGCACCGCGCTCAACCAGTGAGTGGACCGGTCTCTATATGGGATCCGAACCCTTGGCGGGAGCACCGCTGCACTCCCAAGCACTGCACTCTACCGAGTGCACCACCGGGCCGGCCCTCTTTCTTTCTTTTTTGGCTGAGGGGTGCTAGTATGGGGATCTGAACCCTTAACCTTGTCCATGCCATGCTCTCACCAATTGAGCTAACCGGCCAGCCCAATTACTCATGTTTCAGAGGGGTGATTTGTCTGGATCACTGTTTCCCAAAAGATATTTCATAGAACATTAGTCTTTTACCAGGGACCTATGATGGGGGACAGGAGTTTTCTTTTCAAATGTGTGTGGGAAACGCTGATACTGTTTTTCTTTATGAAGATTCGCATTAGCCTGTTGTAGCCTTTGAAAAGTCTTGCAGTTGCAAGGTCCTATTTAACTGATTGTTTCCCAAATTTATTTTACCACAGGGCCCTTTTTTAGGGAACACCAGTTAGCAACCTGTGAAACACCTTAAGAAACTTTGGCCTAGATCAGTGTTCTCAGTGAAAAAGTTCTCAGTTTTCCTAGTGAAAACTGTTCTCAATTAGAGCAGTTTTGCCTTCTAGGGACGTTTGGCAGTGTCTGGAGACATTTTGATTGTCATGACTTTGGGGGCGATGGAGAGGGTGCTGCCGGCCTCTAGTGGGTAGAAGCCAGAGATGCTGCTAAACATCCTACAGTGCACAGGACAGTTCCCCAGCAAAGAATTGTCTGGTCCAAAATGTCAGCAGTGCTGAAGTTCAGAAATCCTGGCCTTGTTGAACCCTGGGGCTTCTCTGATTTTAACAGTCTATGATCCTGTAACTCAGTAGAATGAGTAGGGCAGGAGGAGCAGCTGTGTACAGCTAAATAGAACAGAGGCCTGTGAAAGTAGCCAGTGAAACCCTTTTCTTGCCGTGTGAGAGGATGTTTGAATTTTATAGCCAAACACGAGTTTTTCTACATGCAAGAAGGTTTGTGTTAGATGTCTTCAGGGAGCTTTCCTCTTTCCTTTTATTTTTATTTTGTCTTCCTTGTGACAGAAAATAAATCCATTTGTGTATGTGTTTGTTTCCCTGTGTGTGACTGGTGATTGTATGTAGGTTGGGTTTGGAATTCTCCATTTAAGGATGGCCCAAGACACTTTAGTGCCAAAGAGTGAGCCTCGGAGGACGAGGGAAGGGCCAGGTGACACAGGGAACAGTGGCGCTTGTGCACAGTAGGAATGCTTATAATCAGTCTCCCAGGAGGAGTTCTTGGATTTCTTGTTTGCGGTATAAAGTGTGTTCAGGTCCCTTGTAGAGGAGGCTCTGAATCATCTCATAGTGCTCTCTCACTGGGTTTTGGCTTTGTTTGGCTTTCTTAGAGTCATGTGGGACTAATGATTTTCCTGAAGAAAAGCCACTCTTCTCTTCTACACTTCTGTGTAGACACTGTCTGCCTTGCCCAACACCTCATTACAGTGGTTTTGTTCCTCAGGTTTATTCTCTCTCTGGCCTCTTGTAAGAAGTGTCTCGTCATTGATGACCAGCTCAATATCCTGCCCATCTCCTCCCACGTTGCCAGCATCGAGGCCCTGCCTCCACAGACTCCGGTGAGTCTCTGTGTCAAGGGTTCCGGAATCTGGGGGAGGCCATGTTTTCTGTGTTGGTCTCCTGTGGCAGTGGCAAACCTTCTTCTCTTCTTTCTGGCAGGATGAGAGTCTTGGTCCTTTGGATCTGGAGCTGAAGGAGTTGAAGGAGAGCTTGCAAGACACCCAGCCTGTGGGCGTGCTGGTAGACTGCTGCAAGACCCTAGACCAGGTACGAGTGGCGTTTAGAACTTCTCCACCTCAGTATGCACAAGGCAGAGGGAAAATACAGCCTGCAGAGAGTAAGAGAAGCCAAGTTAGGACAAGTCAAGACCCAGATCCTTCCTGGGGAAGGGGCCTTTCTCTTCTTGCTTATGCTCCTGCATGTTCAACAATAGCCGGGCTGTTCTGTGTCATCTGGGTTCACAAAAGAAGTCCAGGGATTACCTCCCCACCCACCATAAGTTAGCAGTTCAGGGAGCTGGGGATTGGGGGAGATAGATTACATTTTAAAAGGAATCTCCTCAGCACTTTTTCCAAGAGAGGATGATATACCTTAATTTCAATTCAGTTTTGTTGATGTAAAGGTTTTTGCTTGTTGCTTGTACTGAAGTGAGAGGAGAGCTTGAGGTCCCTAGTGCTTACCCTGGTTTCAGTGTGAGGTCTGCTTGAGGGCCCTCTGGGGTGGTATGTGCCTGGTCTTGGGGTGCAAACAGTAGGCTGGGTGGGAGCTGCCAGGATACACTTCTGTGCTCACTGAGGTGGCCAGCATTGGTACATGCGACTTCTCTGGTGGTCCTGGGCCGTGATGGTTGCTGACTGGGTACAGCCCAGAGGCCTTCAAGCTCTCAGGTGTGTTCAGGGTTCTGGTCCAGGCTGAGCCAGATGAGTAGCACAGGCCTCTTGGCACTGGGCTCTGTCCTCATGATGGAATACAGCTGCAGTGACACCTCCTACTCAGGGCTGAGTCCTAATAGGCTGGCTTCCCTTTTCATTCTGGAAATGTAGTTACCAGCTATATCACTTGCTGTGCAGGCCAGGCTGCAGGCTCTAGGCTGCTTAGAATCACTTCTTGGTGCCTTCTTATCACCAGAGAGAGACAGGATGGGGCAAAAGGAGGAAGAGGGAGAAACTACACTACTAGTAGTAGTGTTATAACAAAACAAATGGCCCATGGCAGAAAAAAAAGGGAGAAAAAAAAAAGAAAATTAGTAAGTACAAAGAGATTTAAAAAGTGGTATTTCCACTTGGCAGTCTCACTTTGCAGAGACAACTACTATTAACAGCTTATTATGTATCCTTCTGGACCTTTTTCTATGCATGTAACTGGATATATATATTTTTAATGTGAAGGGGTCACACTGTACAGAGTATAAGTGGTCCCCTGTTAGACATTTGGTTGATTCCAGCTTTTTTGCTGTTATAAACAATGCTGTTAGAACATTTTTACAGATACATCTGTGGGCACTATATCTAGGATAAGTTTCCATAAGAGAAGTTGTTGGCTGGATCAGAGTGTGCGCATTAAAATGGATATTGCTTCAGTTGATGGAACTGCCAACAGTGTATGAAAATGCCTTTTTTTCCTGCAGCCTTGCCAACACTGTGTCCTGTTAAATTTATAAGTCTTTACCATTGTAATATGGGAACATAGGATCATTGTTTTAATTTGTGTTGGCTGTTATTATGAGAGAGGCAGGTACCTTCTTTATGTAATTATTGGCTATCTGTATTTTCTTTCTTTTTTTTTTTTTTTCTTTTTTGAGCCAGTCTGCTCATGTCCTCTGCCCACTTTTTAGATTTTTGGTTTCTTTGTATTGGTTTTTTATTTTAGAAAAGTTTGCATTTTTTAGTCCAGATTTGGTACCCTTCTGTTTTTTGTGGCTTTTTTCCTGTTACCTTTCTGTTTTTTGTGGGGTTTTCCTGTTACGTTTTATCAGTTTTTAACTTCCCTGCTCTAAAGCAAAAGGGTAAAATACAGTGTTCAGCTAGGCTAAGATAAGACAAGTAGGACCTGGATCCCCTTTGAGTATTTCCATCTGGAGAGTCTTGGGCTTCCTGAAGCCCCTCCCGTTCCTCTCCTTCCATTTGCCTGGGTCTATGTCCCTTCAGCTTTTTCTTAGTGCCGCTGGCCTTGGTGAATGAGATAGCTTTGTCAAGACTAGACAGGTCAGGCTGGACCACTTGGCCTTCTTCCCAGACTCGCAGAACTATTCCCAGGGCAGATCCTGACTGGGGAGCAAAGTGTGGGTCCTCTCATTCATGCCACCAGCATCTTGCTTTCCCTGTAGGTGCTGGGCACTCTTCTAGGCACTGGGGCTCAGCAGCAGACAAGAGGGACATGCCTGCTTCACAGAACTTCTGGTGGGATGTGACAAACAGTGAATAAAGTGAATAGAACTTCTGGTGGGGGCTGGCCTGTGGCTCACTTGGGAGAGTGTGGTGCTGATAACACCAAGGCCACAGGTTCAGATCCCTGTATAGGGATGGCCAGTTAGCTCACTGGGAGAGTGTGGTGCTGACAACACCAAGTCAAGGGTTAAGATCCCCTTACCAGTCATTAAAAAAAAAAACTTATGGTGGGATGTGACAAACAGTGAATAAAGGAAGATCATATGGTGAAGTAGAAGATGCTATGTAGAATGGAGAAAAAGAGAAAGTGACAAGGAGGGACAAGGCTGTACTAGGATGAGGAAAATGTGCTGCGGTTCTAGATATAGTGGTCAGGGCTGGCCTCATTTAAAAAGTGGTATTCAAGCAAAGGCTTGAGGGAGTTGAGGAAACGATCTGCGTGGCTGTCTGGGAGCAAGTGCTTCAGGCGGAGGATCAGCAAGTACACGGGCCTGAGGTTGGAGCGTGCCTCGGGTGCCTTGGCAAGGAGGCTGAGCAGGGGGGAGAGCAGGAGGAAATCAGGAGGACCAGGCAGCCACTGGAAGGGCTTTGGCACTCACTCTTTCAGAGGGTCGGTGGAGGCTTTTATGTTTACAGTCTATGTTCAGCACAGTGGTGAAGGATCCCTCTGGCTGCTGTGTAGACTATAGACTGTGGTGGAGCAAGGGTGGAAGTGGGGGGACTCCTTAGGAGGCTGCTGTAATCGTGGAGGCAGGACAGGATGGGAGCTTTGAGCACAGTGAAAGAGAAGGATAATGGTGAGGAATGGCAGGAATTTTTGTATGTTTCGAAGGTGCCAGTAACAGGATTTGCTGATGAATCAGGTAGGGGGGAGAACATTGATGAGGCTTTTGGCCTAAACAATTGGGCGGTCAACTGAAATGGGGAAGAGTAGGTGGGGTGGGTTTGGGGGAAGACTGGGTGTTCCATTTCTAGTTTGAGGGGTCTTTTGTACAAGTGGATATGTATAGGAAGCAGCTGCATGTGTAAGAGAGTCTGGTGTGTAGGGGAGAGGTCTGGACTGGAGATGTGAATTTGGGGGTTATCAGCATCTAATCAGCGTCCAAAAGACCTTGAGACTAGATGAGATGGCCAAAGGGGGTGAGGAGTCCCTGTGCTGAGTAGGGCTTTCTGGCGTATAAGAACTGCCCCTCTTTTATTTAACCTTGGAATCAACCTGACTTCTCCATGTGATGGTGATAAATGGCTGAAACTTGGCCTTTCTCAGAGCTCATCTAATATGTCTGACTTTCCACAGGCCAAAGCTGTCTTGAAATTCATTGAGGGGATCTCTGAAAAGACCCTGAGGAGTACTGTTGCACTCACAGCTGCCCGAGGACGGGGAAAATCTGCAGCCCTGGGATTGGCTATTGCTGGGGCAGTGGCATTTGGGTAAGGTGTTCGATTCCCCATCTTCAGGAACTGGGCTCTGAAGAAGCAGTGTGCAGGATTTGGAGTCAGGAGACTGGGACAGCTGTTAACTCAGGTTCCTGGTTCTGAGCGGGTTTATTGTGGGATTTCTCTAGATCTTGGGTCCTGGCTGGAAACGGCAACACTGTTTCCCCCAACCCTCCTTAGAGGTGCACATACACGTGGGAGTACACACAGACACACAAACACCAGGGCCTTTGTAATCACTCTTTAGAGTTGAGCAAATGCACAAAAGCAAAGAAATGGGGGTAAGAAACTTTAAGTCTCAAGGGAGGAGAATGTACGAGGGTACTTTAGAATTTTCATGGAAAAATAGAATTCAAAGATAATATGAATCTTTCCATGAACTTTTTGACTTACCCGTGACCAGCTTTGCTGACTGAGAAAAGTACAAGTTTGACATTTTAATGATTATGATTAATTGGATCTTGTTTGCTTCTGAGGAGCTACCTTTGAGTGTGATGTTACTTTCTGTTCTTTTGCCCCGGGTGGAAGATTTTATGCAACTGCCAATAGAGTATGTTCTTCCAACTTTGCAGATGTAATAATGGACCTAGAATTTACTGTGTTCTCTGCTATGCATTACCTTCCTTGGTGCTCATTCAAGCTCTGTGGGCATTTTGTAGGTGGATAAACTAGGTTCTGGGAGTTCCAGTGACTTATCCTGGATCCCCCGGCAAGTGAGTGCTGGTAGAGCTGGGTGGGACTTTGAGTTCAGCTCCTGACTCCTAGTCGTTTGTTCTTCCTGCTGCTCCAGCCGAACCAGTCAGCTTCTTAGCCATTAGCATCCTCTGCACTCAGCAAGGATCCCTTGGAGGGTGTTGTGGCCTTGGCCTGCACACCCATTGAGCTCTCTGGTTTCACAGTTTGGAGCCCTCAGCACAGCTAGTGGTAAGTGTGAAGCTGTCCCTCTTGGAGCAGGCACTGGATTGAGGAGTATTGTGCCAGTTCTGCATACTGAGCGAGTTGTCCCCACAGTGTCACCACAGGTGTTGGTAGTTAAGTGCGGGGACTTGCTACCTTGAGATTGTTAACATGTTTTCATTAGTTTGAGAAAAAAATATATACTCAGGCATGGAGTTGGTTTACTTTTCTTCCCCAAAAGGTATCCTGACTTTTTTCCCTGCTGTTAGCTCTGGTTATCACCTTTGTGATGGGCAGACAAAAATGTTTTCTTTTTCTTTATTGTTTCTTTATAATATTGAAGATTTCTTGATTTCTTAAAAATCCTTCTTTTCTTTTGTCCTATAGGTACTCCAATATCTTTGTTACTTCCCCAAGCCCTGATAACCTCCATACACTGTTTGAATTTGTATTTAAAGGATTTGATGCTCTGCAATATCAGGTAGGAATTTAGGATAAGAACTGATTTTGATTTAGTGCTGGGTTTAAATTTAGGTGAAGTCTGTAGAATGCTTGCTTGCTTTCTTAATATTTAGTTTCTAAAGCTAGTTTCTCAAGTTTGTCACTGATTTGATTCTTTCCTCTCCAGGAGCATCTGGATTATGAGATTGTTCAGTCTCTAAATCCTGAATTTAACAAAGCAGTGATCAGAGTGAATGTATTCCGAGAACACAGGCAGACCATTCAGGTGAGGTTCGTTCTCAGATCCTGCTGTGTGGGGCCTATGTCCTGCTGTATTTAACTGGCTCTTAGATGTTTCCGTTTATAGGTGTTTTATGTCCTATTAGTGCTGTTGTTTTGTGATAAACCTGTTCCAGCTTTTCAGCCTCTTCTAAAGGTATACATTCAAGCAAACTAACAAATGTATACAGTCAGATTGAAAAGTTGTAGTTTTGCCTCTCAACTATGGAATAAGTGATTGAGAATATGCTGTCCGCTAAGAGAGAATTATTGTTCTGACATCAGTTTTAATTTTGCTTAGTTACTGCAGGTTTTGAACGGTGCATCCATAACTAGAACTATAACCTCACCATTTAAAAGAAAAAAAGAAGTTTGCAAATTGTGCTGTGAATCTTTGTGGTTTAGCCAGTGGCCTATTTTCCCTTTTAAACAGTTTTTTCTCAAAAGCTCTATAAATCTCTAGTGCTCTGTAATGGTTTTACTTGTGCAAAGGCTGCAATTTTGTTAAATCTCTAAGAGAGACATCGTGTGACAGGCTTACAGAAGGGACTGATACTAACAGGCTCTTACTGGAGTAGTTTCATTGATTAGTTTTGGAGTTGGGTTAGGGTGGGAAGTGAGCCAGGCGAACTTGGCAGTTTTTGCCCTTGAACTTTACACCTGTTAAAGCTTATGGATATGCCTGTCAAGGAGGTATACCTTCTATCAATAAACAGTGTTAACATTTTATGCTGTTTACCTAAAGATTTTTAATTTTTTTCATACTAGGTCTCTTTCTAGAATCTCCTCATTCTATACATTTCTTCCCACTTTTTCCTGATTCCCTCAGCTCAGAGGAGGAAAGACTGATGTTGGTGTGGGGCGGGGGTGGGGGGCAGGTTTCAGGCAATGAGAATACAGAGGCCTGTTAAAACTCAAGAAAAATACACAAACCAAAGAAGAAAAACATTTCCTTGAAATGCCCTGGCTTAGCCCTTACTCCTCCTTGAATTTGTAATCAAATACCCTCTCAAATTACTGGAGTTCTTTTGTCTCCAGACTGGAGTTTAAGCACAGAGGGAGGTGACCTTACTTTATGAGACTCCATTTGTGTTCCTTTGAGGCCTCTTCCTTCTTGGTGGAGATTGAGAAAAAGAAGAACATTAGATTAAAGTTGGCTATACCTCCCCAAGGGGGCTGCTTTCTGCTGCTTTTATGAGATGCTTGTTTAGTTTTTCCCCTGTAAGAATCCAAGACATGGGGCCCTATTGAGGATGTATATTCTGCTGCTAGAAATGAGGAGGGTCGCTGCCTCCCTGACCCATCAACTTCTAGCAAAGCAGCTAAGAAATCTTATTTTTACTAAAATACTTCAGATGTACAGGTAAGTGCAGAGACTTTAAAAGTCATTTATAATTTTTGTTTTAAAGAACTAAAACATCATAGATAGAGTTGAAGTCCCTCTTGTACACTCCATCCACTCCCTTCTGTCACTTTCCATAGGTTATTCTATTCTGAGATTGTTATGTTTCTTTTCAATTCATGTGTTTATATTTTCACCACATAATTATGTATTCCCAAAATGGTAACATACTATACTTGTCCTCCTTCAGCTTGCCTTTTTTTACTCAACATTTTGTTTTCAAGATTTGTCCACATTGAAACTTGTAGGTCTGGTTGATTAATTTTTAAGCACTATATGAATGTACAACAGTTGATTTTTATGTTTCCAGAAGTGGAATTGTTGGGTTTATAAGGTATGCACAGATTTCCAGCTTTTTTGGATTTTGCCAAATTCTCCTTTAAAGTGTTCACATCAGCAATTTTTAAAAAAATTTTACTTCCTTGAGTCTTCACCAACACTGGGTGTTTTACAGCTATTTTAAATTTTATGAAATGGTATCTCCTTGTCTTTAACATTTCACTGATTTCTCATGAGGTCGAGTATCTTTTATATTAATTGGCTATTCAGGTTTCCTCTTCTATAAGATATCTCTTCACGGCCTTTTGCAGACCACTTTAAAAATAGCAGGTAGCGGGCTGGCCCGGTAGCGCACTGGAGAGTGTGCTGCCTGGGAGCGGGGCGGCACTCCTGCTGAGGGTTCGGATCCCATGTGGAGACCGGTTCCCGCTCACTGGTTGAGCGCGGTGCGGGCGCAACACCGAGGGTTGCGATCCCGTTACCGGTCAGTAAAAAACATAAAAAAGGAAAAAAAAAAAAATAGCAGGTAGCCCTGACAATACTGAAGGGGTTGTTTGTATGCATAAAGACATGTGAGTGTGTATGTATTAAGAAAAGAGTAAGTTCTAGAAATGTCCCCACCAGAGCAGGGAGATTGGCCTTTATAAAGACGGTATCAGAGCAAGGAGGACAGCAGCCAGCACGAGAAACCTGACATCCTCCTTTTAACCACCACTGGGTGGAGCTGTGCCTGGTTCACTGGCCTCCCTAGCCTAAGACTGGGGAGAAACATGAGAAGATAAAGGGAAAGGAGCCACCGTCTATCAGCTCTATGCCCGGCACAAGGCAAGGTTTTTACATGTTTACCTTATTTTTTTTCCGTAAGCAGCTATAAGATAGGTATTTCCTCCACTTTACAGAAGAGAAATCTGAGGCTCTGAGAGATTAAAGGACCTGACCAGTGTCACACAATCAGTGGTTGAGCCGTTTGGACCTATGCATCTGACTCCAAGCCCATCCCATTTTTGCTCTGCCAAGAAAAAGGAGAAAGGAAGAATAGGAGAAAGAGGAAAGAGAGCAGTCTTTATGATGACTCACCAGTAATCACAGTGGTGGCATTAGGTCGTCATGCTAATAATCTAAATTTTTCTTCTCCACAGTATATACATCCTGCAGATGCTGTGAAACTGGGCCAGGCTGAACTCGTTGTGATTGATGAAGCTGCCGCCATCCCTCTCCCCCTGGTGAAAAGCCTCCTGGGCCCCTACCTTGTTTTCATGGCATCCACCATCAATGGGTAAGGCGCCGTGGGTGGGGGAGGTTTCTCCTCTTGTAGGTTCTTGCAAATTAGGTAGCATGTAACGAATGTGGCTAGGCCCAGGAAACTAAGTCTGATTCCCAAAGTCTGAGTCTTCATCCTGGGACTTTTGCATATAGGAGCTGGCTTCATAATAAACTGTAACTCACCTCTGGTCTGACATTAAATGGGCAGCATAGGAGTGAAGAATTTTGTAACCGATAGAATGTCTCCTTCTGTCTGTAGGTGTGATCAGTCAGGTTTTAAAAAGTACTGTATGGATGGCAATACCAATGTCTTATATCTTAGAATTATGTGAAAATGTAGAATTTAAGTATATATAAGTTAGCATAAGAAAGCAAGCTTATAATGGCACAAGAGCTTTTTTAAAAATTTGAAATATTTAGTTCATGTTTGCTATGGAAAAATTAGAAAAAACAGGTAAGCAAAAGAAAAATCACCTGTAATATAACCATCCAGAGATAGCTTCTGTTAGAATTTTGGTGTATATTTTCTGTGCATTAGTTTTACTTTTTCTTTTTTCTTTTTTTTTTTTTTACTCAGTATCTCTGATCCTGTTTCTGTAACTCTGAAATAGTAATAACCATAGCTGCTTTGAAGTTGCAGGCACTAAAAACACATTGAGAGACAGTGGCTATTCTATAGGTGACAATTATCTTGGTTATTATTATTTTTTTTCTTTTTAAAAATTTTTTATTAGCATATTCATTGTTACAAATTGTACTTATTCTTTATTACTTTTTCATTTTGAACAAGAACATAAACATAGTTTACATATGCTTTAAATTTGCTTTTTCACATAATAGTATACTGTGAAATCTTTCCAGGGCAATGAATGTACATCTTCAGTATTGGAAAGATTTCTGTGTGGAAATCACTTCTTGAAGAGATAATTCTGTGTTGCAGACTTCTTACTATGACTGCTTTACTTACACTGAAAGTATTTAAATAAAATGGATTTTTGCTTTTTAAAACAGCTTTGTTGAGATATTCACATACCATACTACTTACCCAGTAAGCATGTAATTCAATGGTTTTTAGTATATTCACAAGTTGTGCAACTGTGCTCACCACAACCAATTTTAGAACATTTTCATCACCCCTTCCCTTCATACCCCTAACCCAAGGGAGCTACTAGTCTACTTTCTATCTCTATATATTTGCCTATTCTGGACATTTCATATAAATGGAATCATATAATATGTGACCTTATGTGATTGGCTTCTCTCGCTTACTACAATGTTTTCAAGGTTCATCCTTGTAGCATGTATCAGTATTTCATCTCTTTGTGTGGCTGGATAATAATCCATTGTGTGGGTATACCACATTTTATTTATCTGTTCATCTGTTGGTAGACATTTGGGTTATTTCTACCTTTTGGCTATTATGAGCAATACTGCTGTGAACATTTGTGTACAGGTCTTTGTGTGGATGTGTTTTCCATTCTCCTGGTTATATACTTAGGAGTCGAATTACTGGGTCAAAGGTGACTCTATGTTTAACCATATGAGGACTGTCAGATAGTTTTCCAAAGCAGCTGAATGATTTCACATTTCCACCAGCAGTGTATGAGGATTCTAATTTCTCCACATCCTCACCAACACTTGTTATATGTCTTGTTGATTATAGTCATTCCTGGTCGGTATGAAGTGGTATCTCATGGCTTTCCTGGTGGTATCTCATGCATTTCCCTAATGACTAATGATGTGGAGCATCTTTTCCTTTGCTTATTGGCCATTTGTATGTCTTCTTTGGAGAAATGTCTGTTCAGATCCTCTGTTTATTTTAATTGGGTTGTCTTTTTATTGAGTTGTAAGCATTCTTTATATATTCTAGATATACTTACCTTGTCAGATACATGATTTACAAAAATTTTCTTCAATTTTGTGGGTTATTTCACTTTCTTGATGATGTTTTTTGTTGCTTGTGCTTACTCCTGTTTTTTTTTTTTTTTTAAGAAGTAAATAGAACTCCTTTGGGAGAGCTTTATTATGTGGGGTAGGGAGGGGAAATAAAATACTTCAAAATTCCAGCTTTTTGATCATTCTATAAAAGTAACATTTGAGTAAGGAAGTATTTATACAGTCCTTAAATATAATACTGAGTACCATGAAATGATGTAATACTAAAAAAAAAAAAGGAAAACCTGCTGAACAGTGTGTACCCTGCAGTCATATACGCTTGTGACAGAGACAAAGGAGGAAATACTCAAAAATGAAAAGAACTGGTTCAGTGATCAGATTGTAAGTGACTTTTTTTCCCTGAAATTTTTTTTTTTTTTTTTTAAAGATGACCGGTAAGGGGATCTTAACCCTTGACTTGCTGTTGTCAGCACCACGCTCACCCAGTGAGCTAACCGGTCATCCCTATATGGGATCCAAACCCATGGCCTTGGTGTTATCAGCACCGCACTCTCCCGAGTGAACCACGGGCCGGCCCTTCCCTGAATTTTTTGTTACCTGTTTTGTATCACCTTTTAAGTGAAAGTAGTAATGAAAAGAATCATTCGGGTGGTAGATTTGTTTTATTTTGATTTTTCCCAACTGGAAATGCGCTTGGTTCATTTCTCATGCATGTTACTTCTAATAGCAGCTCTCATTAGTTGACTGTTTAACTGTATTCTGGTTTCACTATGGTAAAGGCTTTACTTACATCATCTTCTTAGTCCTTATTTTTTTAGTTCATACCACAGTCCTATGAGGTGTGTAGAATAATCCCCTTTTGAGGATGAGGCGAAAAGAGATTGGGTTCCTTGCCCAAAGGTACTAAGTAGATGAGCCAGGACTTGAGGCCAGCCTGAATGGCTCCAAGCTGAGCCACCATGCTGCCCTGCCTCCTTTGGATGTGTGCATGCTGCACTGGAAGTTCAGAGGTGAGAAAGGCTGTCCTCGGGAAGTTTCAGTAGGCCAAGGAATGTAGCTCTCTGTCCTCTCCCAGTGAGTGGATTTGGGGACTTGTGTCTGATTGCCTTTGCCTTTGCTTCTAGCTATGAGGGCACTGGCCGGTCACTGTCCCTCAAGCTGATTCAGCAGCTCCGTCAGCAGAGTGCCCAGAGCCAGGTCAGCACCACTGCTGAGAACAAGACCACGATGACAGCCAGACTGGCATCAGGTACCCTCAGTCCACAGCAAGTCCCCTCAGACTCTTGCTGGATCCTTGCTTCTCCTGTGACATCACAGGCAGTACCAGATCTTCCCAACATGAGGCAGAGAGTCCCCAGGAAGTGAAGTAGCTTTTCTCTGAGGAACAGCAATCCAGTGACCAGCTGGGGGCCTGGCTTGGGCCTTCTGGTCGCTGGGCCTTTTTCCCTGTCTTGGGGTATGGTCCCCTTGACTTAGTGAGATCCCATTTGCATTTGTATCATGGCAAGTTAACTATCCATCAAAACAATTTAAAACCACCCAATTTAAATTCTTGAGCCGTACATATCTGGGCACCATGTGACAAATATGAAATGGAATATTTTTTCTTGATCTTTTAGAAAACACATATTTAATAATTGTTATTGTGTGTGTGTTTGTGTGTGATTTGTGGGGAACAGCACGAACGTTGCACGAGGTTTCCCTCCAGGAGTCAATCCGCTATGCACCTGGGGATGTGGTGGAGAAGTGGCTGAATGACTTGCTGTGCCTGGATTGCCTCAACATTACTCGGATAGTCTCGGGCTGCCCATTGCCTGAAGCCTGTGAACTGTATCCTTCTCTGGGTTTCATTGGCCCTGTGAAAGGGAAAGGGGCGAGGAAAGAGTTAAAAGGATTTTGACCCTTTGTTTCAGAGGATGCTGCTCTAGGGAAAAGGGAAAGTTGAACATTCTGGATTTCCTTTTTCTTTTCTTCCTTCCCTAATGTGTTTCTGCTTAAGACATCGAGCTCCTCTTCCCAAGCTAAGGGAAATCCATACTACTTCCAGAAAGTAATGTGTTCCGTGTTGGGCTCTCTTTGGTTTGTTTTGGTTGCTTGACTCCAGGTCCAGCTACTATGTTAATAGAGACACCCTCTTTTGCTACCACAAGGCTTCTGAAGTTTTCCTCCAGCGGCTTATGGCCCTCTATGTTGCTTCTCACTACAAGGTAACTGCATGAACCCTTGGGTAAACTTCAGCAGGGAGCCTCAGTACTTGGCAGTCCCTTTTTACTTGGCCTTTCACATCTTTTATTACCCTGTGGCTTAGGTGACCATTCCACTGTGACTTAAATGTCCTGATGTTGATGAGGTCCAGTGGTCTTGCTTTGCATACAGAGCAAGGAATTCTAGCATGTAGCTCCATGCATGGCAGCCAAGGAGGGTGGAAAGCTCTGCCCATTTTTAAAGGGGTACTTGTATTTCTTGCCTTCCTACTAAACTGATAAGCTAAGGTGACATCACAGTTGTAACCCAGTGGTGCTGTTTGACCTGAGACTTTGCACCTCTGGGCTATTTTCAAGGAGCAGTGAATTTGAGGGTTTAATATATCTAAGATTCTTAGAAACTAAAGAGCAAGTTGGAAAGGATACTTTTTGAGTATCCAGGTAGCTTTTTTATGAACAACTTTAATGGAAGACTGAAGAGTTGGTGTTAGAAGTAGTGACATCTTTTCCTGAAATAGCAGCCTCTTATCTGGGAAAAGTTCACTTCTGAGCTGTGAGGTAAGTAGTGCTAGTGAGTTCTCTTCTGCTCTGCAGCCTCAGTGCTGGGGTGAGAGGACAGTAGGCATTTGAGGCAAAGTTCCACTTAAGCCATTATGAAGAGTCTCTCAGGCTTGCCAAAATACTAGAAAGGCACTTTGCTGGATTTCAGCTGCTCACTTGACTGGAGAGAAGGCATTGTTCTAGTCATCCGCCGGTTCCAAGTACAGCCCCTGAGTATAGGCCAGGAGGAGGCGCGCTTCTCACTGACTCGTGTCCGTGCCCTGTAGAACTCTCCCAGTGACCTCCAGATGCTTTCCGATGCACCTGCTCACCATCTCTTCTGCCTCCTGCCTCCCGTGCCCCCCACCCAGAATGCCCTGCCTGAAGTGCTTGCTGTAGTCCAGGTACGGAAGCAGAGGCATCCTTGTGGTATTGATTTGGGAAACTACTTAGGCAGCCAGGGTGAATGGCTCAATTTCTGCAGTGGGGGAGGGGAAGCTGTGGAGTCCTAGTCTGGAGCCAAGTGGCTTGAGGCTGGTGATTAGGGTGCATAGGAGGAAGCCACTGCCACCCAAAATCTAGAACCCCGCATTCTTGGATGGGTGAAGCCAGAGCTGGCCACTCTGTTATTTTGACTTACAGCTCCATCCACAAACAAAACTTGTTTTTTTGTTTTCCCCTTTATTACAAAAGCAGTACTTGGTACTTGTAAAATTAGGGGCTATAGATTGGGAGGAAAAATGCTTTTAACACCTGACATGTATTTATGCTTCCCTATATCATTTTTCCTTTTCATAAACAAGGGATTATAGCATTTAGTTATTTTGTTTTAGGCATGTGTCAAATATTCATAATCTACATGCCTTTTAAAGGCTGCCTAGTATTTCATGATATGCATGTCCCATAGTTTAACCACTGTCCTATTAGACACTTGAGTTATTTTGAATCTGCACTCTTTGGTACAGAGCTGCGTGGGCATCCTGTGTCTTAATTGATGTACACACATGCACAGCACACATGGAGATCCTCTTCTAATGTGGTTTTTACTCTTTGGGTCAGGAGGATGTCAGTTTTCTGCCTTGTAACAGTAATGAAGCTTCTATTAGAAATGGATGAATTAGTCAGTGTCAGGGTTAAACCTGAATGTGGGGGTGGAAACAGCTGCCTAATCAGAGAAATAAAACACTGACGTTCTGGATCTGGAGCTGGCTTTTCTGTCTGCACTGTCCTGCCTCCCCCACAGGTGTGCCTTGAAGGGGAGATTTCTCGCCAGTCCATCTTGAACAGCTTGTCTCGAGGCAAGAAGGCTTCAGGGGACCTGATTCCATGGACGGTGTCTGAACAGGTGATGCACTTTCCCTGTCATGTGTGAGTGAGGGGAGGTGGTCGTGTCAGAGGATGTTTGTGTTGCTAAGTTACTGGCTTTTGTCTCCCGCACAGTTCCAAGATCCAGACTTCGGCGGTCTTTCTGGTGGAAGGGTGGTTCGCATTGCTGTGCACCCAGATTATCAAGGGGTAATGCGCCCTCCTGCCTCTCAAATCTGGTGTGCTGCTGTTGGCTGCAGCCATGCTGCTGGTGGCTTGCTAGGGCAGGTTTACGTGGTGGTTGGAATAAGAAGCTGGTCAAGAAGCAAGTCAAGTTCCAGGCACTTCTCTGCTCTGGAGAATTTATCCAGGGCTTGGGATGGGTGGATGGACAGGATTATGGGATATACTTGCCCTTTCTTTGTGAGCACAGGGACTTGGGAATCAGATCTGCTTTCTGTAATTGCCTTCTGTCTCTTAGGAAGCCCCACTGAGTAATTAGCTGTAGAAACTTCCTTTTCTGGCAATAGCACAGAAACCGTCTCTCTTTTGGGCTTGCGGATCTGTGGAGCAGAAAGCACAGCCAGCCATTCTCATCCTCAAGTGGCAAATGGGCTGTTCTTGATGGGCTAGACCAGTGTAAGAACTTTCTGTGTTAGGAGTCTCTGCTTTGACCTCATTAGGGGATTTCATTGCTTCTCTTTGCCAAGTGCAGTTTGACCAGGAGTGAAGGCTTTCTAAAAGCAAGAGTAATTCAGGGGAGTAAAAGTGGCTTAGACAGGCTGAGAACATCTCCCTTCCCTCTGCTTATTTCCCTGCATATTTGCTCATAGATGGGCTATGGCAGCCGGGCTCTGCAGCTGCTGCAGATGTACTATGAGGGCAGATTCCCTTGTCTGGAGGAAAAGGTCCTTGAGACCTCACAAGAAATTCACACCGTAAGCAGTGAGGTAAGCATCTTTTGGCAAAACTCCCATTTCTTGGCTCTTGGGAGGATAATCTTTGGGTCTTCAGAAGCAGTGAGAACAGTCCAGAAGTCTGGGCTCTTCTGTTTTCTCCTGCTGCTTTCTTCAGCCTAACACACTCAAGTTGAGATCCTTCGGGCCGGCCCGGTGGCGCACTACTACAGTGCGCCGCTTGGGAAGCGCGGCAGCGCTCCCGCCGAGGGTTCGGATCCCACATACGGACCGGCCGCTCACTGGCTGAGCGAGGTGCGGGGGCAACACCGAGGGTTGCGATCCCGTTGCCGGTCCCGGTCCAGTACGGGCGTGACACTGAGGGTTGCGATCCGTTGCCGGGTCACGAAAAAAGACAAAAAAGGAAGAAAAAAAAAAAAAAAAAGTTGAGATCCTTGGACCAGCATCACCAGTGTCACTTGGAATCTTGTTAAAAATGCAGATTCTTGAGCTCCACCCCACTGATTCCTGCCGAATCAGAAACGCAGGGGTGGGCATAATAATCTGTGGCTTAACGAGCTTCCCAGCTGATTCTGATGCTTGTTCAAGTTGAGAACCACTGCTCTATAAGTTCTTTCTGACCCAGGCTAAAGGAAATTCTGTCTTTCCTTGATAAGAATGATTAATGCTAGTAACTACGACAGCTTTTCATATGCATTCATTGTTTTTTGCAATATGTCTATTTGGGAGCTAGAGAAGGGGCTTTAAGTTGAGACTCAGGTTTATCACTTCCCAAGGTCACAGGCTGTCAGGTGACAGAACCTGCACTTCATGCTGGATATTCAGAATCCTGCCTCTGTTCCTTTGTAAATCTGTTAGGCTTTTCTAAACTGTGTGGCTGTTTTCCTGCATTCTAGGTTCAGAGCACTGTGATTCCATGTGTGTTTAGGTGTTTTGTGTACTTCGGAATGATTTCTTAACTCAGTGGTGTTCCTATATGTCGAAAACCATAGGAACAAACCAGGAAGCCTCTTTCAGTTTTTGTGTGTTTAGTCCAGAGCCTGGGGTTGCAGGGGTGCTTGAGAATTTCACTAGCCCTCCTCTCCCTCTGCTGAGTGGAGTGTGTTCTCTCCTGGCATCTCCGCAGGCCGTCAGCCTATTGGAAGAGGTCATCACTCCCCGGAAGGACCTGCCTCCTTTACTCCTCAAATTGAATGAGAGGCCTGCCGAGCGCCTGGATTATCTGGGCGTTTCCTATGGTTTGACGCCCAGGCTCCTCAAGTAAGTGTTGCCTGCCCTAGGTCACCAGTGCCACCCTCTTGGCAGTGAAAGAAACCCTGAGAAAGAAGAGTTTGGTGGTGTCTGGCTGGGTCATAGACCTTCAAACCCGTTATGCACACTGGGTCACAGACCTCACATGCAAGTTGCGAGCTATGTAATTGGAAAGATCCTGGCAGCCGTTGGCAAGGTTGACATACTTTATTCAGATGTGAGGTCAGCCCCTGCAGCAGCTTACCAGCCCATGGCAGCAGCCTGGTGGCGTCCCTAGGGCACTGTGGATCAGAGCTGTTTGTCCTTTATGCTTAAGTCAGATAACCAAGGGACCCCTGGGTGTGAGTCATAACCAAAGAACACCTGGGCGAACATGCACAATTACATCAGACAACCAGGGAACACCTAGATGCATGTGTGCAATTAACATATTTACATTGAACAGGCTAGGTCATGCTCGGCAAGATTCCGAACATCTGAGGGAGCCTGACCATTTATTGCATTTTCCTTACAGGTGGGCTGTGTGCCCTTTGTAGCCAGAGTCCGTGTCGGCTGTCTGCCGACTCCCTGCTTCTGGCGCTTGCCCATCTTTATCTCTTAGCCACTCCCTGGAGGGCACATGGTGACCTGCCCTCTTTGTTTCTTTGCAGATTCTGGAAGCGGGCTGGATTTGTTCCTGTGTATCTGAGACAGACCCCGGTGAGTGAGGCATGTGGCGGAGGAGGGGTTGAGGTTTGCAGTTATTGTCCTTGCGCAGTACCCTGCTGCCTCCCTACTACTATGCTCTGAGCAGGTGTTTCTGAGCCTGAGAAGAGGTTTATTCTGATGGACACCCAAACAGCCATCCTTAAAAGGCCACGTGGTCACACATTTATTCCCCCACTGCAAAATGCATGCGTGGTGCTTTTTGTTTGGCTTTTGTGCTTGATTATAAAGTGGCTGAGGTGCACATGGACTTGCTCCTCAGATTCTGGAATCCTTTAAGCTGGGGGCCTCCTTGAATTTGTAAAAAAAAAAAAACAAACAAACAAAAAAACAAAAAAAAAAAACTGGTGCTAGGAGAGGAGTGCAGTTGTGCAGACTCGTATTGCAAGTTGCAATCTGAAGCAGAGATATAAAAATGTGGGTAATGGAGCCACAGAGAATTATTGAGGGAAGGTGAAAGAGTCACTATGTTTATTTTTTAAATCATTTATTTAGCACCTACAGTGAAATCAGGCAGTGAACAAGATAAGGCAGGTAGCTTATTTTCTAATAGGTAGAAATAGGCAACAAAAAAGTGAACAAATTTTCAGAGAGCAACAAGTGCCATGAAGAAAAGCGGACACTGAGATTACGGTGTAATGAGGAGTCAGGTTTCTGAGGGCGTGACCTTGCACGTGGAAACCTGGATGATCAGGATGGACAGCGATGTGGCAGTCCTGGGGGAAAGAGCTTTCCAGCCCGAGGGAACAGCAGGTGTAAGGCTGGAGTGGAAAAGAAGGTGGTGATTTGAAGGAAAGGAAAGAAAGCCAGTGTGGCTGAGAGTCTTTGGAAGGGGAAGATTGTGGGACATGGTGATGCTGGGCAGGTCTCGGTCAGGATGCTGCGGGTTCTTCCTGTTCAGCTGGAGGAAGAGGTGAGAGGCGAGGACCTGCCTGGGTCGCCGTGTGGAGAGGGGACTGTAGTAGTCTGAGTGTGGAAGCAGGGAAACGTGGGCAGGAGGAGATGGGCGGATGCAGTGACGGTGGATAGAAGTGGCCAGCTGTGGGGTATGCTTGGGAGGTAGGACTGACTGGAATTGTAGAAGGACGGACGTGGCAGGTGAGTACACAGGGGACCAAGGCTAATTTCTAGATTTTTGGCTTAAGCAGCTGAGTGCTGGAGGTGCTGTCTGAGATAGGACGTACTCATTGAGAGAGGAGCAGGTTTGAGGAGAAAAGCGGGAATTTTTCTTGGACATAGTAAGTATAAGATGCCTATTGGACACCCAGTAGAAATGTGGAACAGGCATCTGATAATAGGAGTCTGGAGTCGAAGGAGGAGGTTGGGGCTGGAGGTAGAGTTAGGGCAGTTGTCAGCATGTTCCTAGTAGAATATGCTCCACCAGGGCAAAGGCTTTGTTTGTTCTGTTCACTGCTGTGTCCCCAGCACTTAGAATAGCTTCTGCTATATGGTATGTGTTCAGTAAATGCTTGAGTTCAGCAAGTGAATAAATATTGAAAAGTATTGAAAGTACAAGGGGGTGAGTCCTTGGACTCTAGCATTTAGAGGAATGAGGAGGAAGATATAGCATGGGAGACTGAGAAGGAGCGGCCTTGATCCGTAGGAAAAAGTCGGGGGGAGTGCGGTGGCAGCAGTCAGGGTTAAAGTGTTTCACAAAAGCGAGTCAGTTGCTGTTCAGAGAATAAGAAGAGCGCAAACCAGCTGATTGTTGGATTGGTCAGCATTAGTGCTCTGAATGATGCAGCTTCAGTGGATTCAACCTGAGTGGAGAGACTAGGAGGTAGGAAATAGAACGTGAACAGGTGATTCTTTCACAGAGCAAAAGGAGCAGAGAAACGAGGCAGCTGGAGGGAGATGGGGGTTAAGGAGGGATTGTCAGGTGGGAGATTGTAGAAGCATGCTTGTTTGCTGGGTATGATCCTGCAGACAGTGCAGGTAGTGGTGCAGGTGACAGGGGCTGATTGCAGGGGTGTGGGCCTTGAGGAGGCAAGTGGGGTGGGACCCAGGACTCAGGAAGAGAGGGGCCACTTCTTCAGCCAAAGAGTATGGCTGTGGAAGGTGTTGGTCAGCTGGTTGACTTGGTGTTGGGAGGAGGAAGATGTTCTCTTCTGATTGCTTCTGGTTTCCCAATGAGGGGAGGCCAATGAGAGTTCCCCAGCTGAGAGGGAGGAGTGTTGGAGGTTTGGTTTTGGAGGGTTCAAGGCCAGTACCCAAGGGTGGTGTCAGGTGGCACTGGTGAAGACTGCTGAGGGTTTGGCTGCTTCCTCACAGGCATGGAGCAGCACACAGATGGCTTAGGTCCTTGTCAGCGTGTGTTGTCAAGGCCAGGGATGTAAGTTTGGCTGTCAACTGCAAGAACGCAGACCAGTGAGCTTTGTTGTAGACTATGGTATGTCCCTGTGGTCTTGTGCTGTGTACTAAACTTTTTTGTGACTTGGTGCTGGTGTTTTGTTACATGAATGCTCTTTGGTTGAAATCCGTGAGATATTTTTTTTTTTAAAGATGACCGGTAAGGGGATCTTAACCCTTGACTTGGTGTTGTCAGCACCAGGCTCAGCCAGTGAGCTAACCGGCCATCCCTATATGGGATCCGAACCCATGGCCTTGGTGTTATCAGCACCGCACTCTCCCGAGTGAGCCATGGGCCGGCCCCGAAATCCGTGAGATATTTTGATGGTGTTGGGCTTTGTTTTTATGTAGTAAAAATCTAAAAACCTGTGGTTTCATAGTCACTATTTTAGCACCTAAAGAAGCCCGTGCTTGCAAACTGTCTGCCAGAAAGGGAACTCTGGGTTTTGGCTGTGGAGTTTTTGCTGTCAGCCACCAAAAACACATTGATTAGATCATGTGGAGAAGCCAGGGCCTCTGCTCCAGAAGGGCGCCTCCTGCAGCTTGGGAGGAAAAAAAGACCCATGGAAGCACTGAGTCTTCCTTCTCTGCATGCTTGCCCTTTACCAATGGTGGGTCATTCAAAAAGGGGGGTTCTCGGTGCCAATTGAGAGCGTGCGTTCCCCAGAATGACCTGACAGGAGAGCACTCATGCATCATGCTCAAGACGCTGGATGAGGAAGACGAGGCTGACCAGGGAGCCTGGCTTGTGGCCTTTTGGAAAGGTGATTGAGGAGTGGAGGGGGGACACCCAGGTGGTGGCTGGCGGGTGGGTGGGTGGGTGGGGCATGACCAGGCTGCTAACTCTGTGTCTTGTACCCCACAGATTTCCGAAGACGGTTCCTAGCCTTGCTGTCCTACCAGTTCAGCACCTTCTCTCCTTCCCTGGCTCTGAACATCATTCAGAATCGGAACGTGGGGAGACCAGCCCAGCCAGGTGAGCTGGGTGGGGACAGAGGTGGCAAGATCAGTGGTGGTTGGTCATGTGGAAGGCACTTGGAAGAGTGCTGGACAACGGATTGAGGCCTGGTTCTAGTTCTCAGTCTCCCACTGACCACCTCCCACTCACCAGACCCCTGTTCTGTCCCAGGCCATGCCATCTTTCATTTTCATGACAAGATTTCAGGGATGCAATTTGACCATCAAATAAGTTCATTCAGCTAGTTAATTATGAAACCCATTTTAAATCCTCTCACCTAGGAGAACTAAGTGCTCAACCTTTGAGGCTTAGTCTCCTGATTCGTGAAGCTGTAATAGGAATATGCTGTCAACCTTCTGTGGCCAACACATAGAAGTGCTTCGTGCCTATAAATTCTGCTTGAATAGTTACAAAACAGTGTGTAAGGGATCATTAGGATTAACAGCTGGTTTTTTTTCTGTTGCCTATTTTATATATATGTATGTATACCCATATATGTTTGTGTGTATATATGTGTGTACTGTTTTTTCTTTTTGCCAATTATATTTTGATGGAAAAGTCTGTGTTCCTCGAGTTGGATGAAGTGACAGAGTGTGAAAGGAGTGTTCTTCTTCTAATCCTTGGGCACTGGGAGCCTTTCCTTGGTACTGTGTGTTGGCGTGGGAACTCTGAGCAAGGGTCACATGCCAGCTGTACTGTCGTCCCCCCCCCCCCCCACCCCCCCCCCCCCCAC